TGCGACTAGGAAACCGCTCCCGACGACAATGCAACAGGTACATGAAGAAGAAACCAGTTCCTCTGGGTACCTCACTAACAGTGTATCTGGTAAAACTTTACGTAGCATAAGTCCAGAGCAGCCCACTAGTAGATTAAAAACGTCGCCACCTCTCGCTCTCCCTCCTCCTGATTGCTTGCCAGGATTTGATGGTACTATAGGATCAGATGGCAATTGGTATAGTTGGACTGATGTTATACATTATCCGAAACCAATGGTGACTGTATTACCATATGTCTATATCGATGGGTTTGATCCGAACGAGATGTGATCTACTCTCTCTCTCTCTTTCTTTCTCTCCTCTTTTTTCCACCTGTTTGTCCATATTTATTCTTATAATCGTTTTCACTGTTATTGATCGTATTATTATTATTATTATTGTTATTATTGTTGTTGTTATTATTATTAAAAAGACTAATAAACACAATGAAACCAGTATATAGTTAAACTATTAATTGGAAAATCATAATAAATTATTTTATTATTGTCAATAAATTTCAATTATTTCGGGTGGCATTATTATAATAATATAGCAGCTAGCAGCTACACTATTAATTTGTCACACTACACTATGCTCTCCTTTGAAAATAATGACTGCACTTCAGCAAAAACCTTCAAAAAGAAAAATAACATAAAAATTATTTTTCTCTGATATTATAAAATATAATTATGCTAACTTCTTCTGGGCCAGGGATGGAAGATATTTTTCTTACAAAGCCCTTTTCATCGTAATAATTGACAATGTCCATAGTGTCTGAAATATATGTCTTATATCTGCAGAAAGGAATGTAAAGCAATTATTGTTAATAATAATAAATCATTAAACCTTTTCTTGAAGGACTCAATATTGTCATCTACTCTTCCACTTTCCTGTCCTCTTTTGAGAGCTCTCTCCATACAAGTCTATGAGGAAAGAAAGAATAATTATTAGAATTACAGAATTCAAATAATTTTAATTCCACTTTTGTCAGCCTCAAAATTTGACTCTTTTTTTTAAATTGCTCATAACTCGAAAATTATTTGTTGGAATTGGCTCAAACTCTCTACTTAGCATAAGGACATCAATATGTATCAGAAAATTTTGGAGCCATTTTTTGGAAAAACCATGGGCTATAGCCTTGGGTATTTTTTTTTAATTTGACCCATTTTTAAATTGCTCATAACTCAAAAATTATTCGTCAGAATCAGCTCAAACTTTCTATATAGCATAAGAACATCAATATGTATCAGAAAATTAAATAAAAATTTGGGGTGATTTCGGAGCCATTTTTTGGAAAAACTATGGGCTATAGCCTTGGGTATTTTTTCAAAATTTGACCCGTTTTTAAATTGCTCATAACTCAAAAATTATTTGTCAGAATCAGCTCAAACTTTCTACATAGCATAAAGACATCAATATGTATCAGAGAATGTAATAAAAATTAGCAGCTCTTGTGGAGAGAATTTTTGAAAAAAGGACATAAATTCACTATAGGATCATAACTTCAGAATCACAGATGTACGTGTACTGTACATCAGCCATGCATTATACTAAATAATAAAAACTAGGTTCTCTTATCTCTAGCTCTTACTGTTTCTGGACAATCAAAGAATAAGACGAATCTAAAATCCACCCGATCATTCATCTCACACTCCCATCCAGTGAGGTTGTCCCTGTTCCTGGGAAACCCATCAATCAGGAACTTATTATTACCAGCTGAAGACTCCATAGCCTGAAAGAGAAACAACATCGATTATAAATGTGAAATCATAAACTAAGATTACAAGCTTATATATTATAAACTTATGTTTATTATTATAGTAAGATTATACACTTATAGTATAGAATAAGACTGTTAGATTATGAATAAAAATTTGACTGTAATTGACAAAAGGTCCCCCTTGTGGTGAATAATTTAATTTTTTTATAACCAAAAAAAATCTAACTTCCTTTGCTCCATTAATACAGACATTTTTTAACAAGATACAAAAAGCTACTATGTAACTTCTACAAACAATGCTTCTCCAAGAAAACACACACAAGTTGATATTTTTTCATTATAAATGATGAGTTTAATAATCTGCCAAAACAGTACCTTTTGTCAATTATATATATATATATATATATAGCCACAGATAATGATGTCATTATGACCAAAAAATGGAAACTAAAAATAGAACTTACATGTACACGTACATGTAACGTGATCATTATTACTACTAATGATTGCATGCTATTACTGATTGTTCTAAAATGATAATTAACCATGTGCTACACGTGCTACGGAAATAGTTTCAAAATGACTTCACTTGAAGAGTTTCTGTTGACGCACACACAAACACGCCTTAAAGCATTCCTCAATATCATTGCACACATATCACAGTTCACCTTCTTGTTCTCATACCTTTTTAAGGAGGTCGATTGTTATGGCTACAGGGACTATCTTTCCTTCCTTCATGCAGCTCGTGATGAGCTGTCCCACTTCAGAATCACTAGCTCGAGCCTCTCTTAGCAGCTCGCCGGCTGAAAGGTGAACGAAACCATATTTCTGATTATCAAAAAAAGAGAAAAATAAAATAATCATTAATAATCGTTACATGTACATTTGCTCGTAAAAAATTTTCTTATTCATCAATAAATAATTGTAATACTAGACAAATAGCAATTATAATAAAGCAATAAAAATATTTTCATTTATGTATATATATATCTACAATTTTCATGAAATTAATTAACACCTTATGTGGCCAATATTACACTTTATGAGGTCTCACCTCTACTATCTTGCTGCACTGCGTTCCCTTCCCTGCCCCAGGGCCACCTAGAACGAATATAACGAGAGGCTTCGCCAGTTTTGTAGCTCTGAAGAAAACTGCACGTCTTAGCACAGGCAGAAAGACCATTAACAGTATTAATTGATGATGGGTGGTGTCAATTAATAGTATTAATGAGCCACGCCTTTATTTTCCAGCCACGCCCGAGTAACGCGAGTAGCCTCTCCCACATGCACCGCACCTGAAAACTACTAAGAGAGAGCAGTCATAGGTGTCTAACTCAGTAACTAGGTGGAACGAGGAAGAATGGGAGCCTGTCTCGGTAAATCCAGCACTTCTCATTCGAACTCAAGGCCCGGCAGACATCCTAGTAAAAAGGAAAAGCCCTCTCCGCTCACTCTCACCCGAGACGAGTCGACCCAAGAGGGTACGGATTTTCAACCCAGACAGAGAAAGAGCCAAGACCAGGTCGTCCCGCACTCGGTTCTCCTCTCCCTGACATCAGTCCAACTCTACAACGACCCGTCTCCTCCTGAATGTCCCTACTGTGGCAAACCCGGCAATGATAAAGCCGACATGATGATCTGTAAGAGCGAGACTATTCCTTACGACATGTTTGAACTCCTAATGGAGAGGGGCTGGTGGCGAACTGGTAATATAATCTTTCGTCCGCAGCAAGAGAATATCTGCTGTCCGTCTTTTGCGATACGTAGTCCGGTAAGTGAGTACAAACTAACGAAGAATCATCGTAGGGTTCTGAACCGTTGGAAGGATTTCTTGATAAATGGGGACCCAAGATGGGAGAATAGGATGAAAACTAGCAGTGCTGCTACAAAGACAGAGATTGGCCTCAATTCATTGGAAGAGCCTAATCACTCCACTTCCAATTCTATTAATCGCGTAATGCCCACTGGTGATGGGCTTCATCCCAATGATAGTACTACTCATCTTCAGGCTCATGCAAGTGAAGGTGCTTGTAAAAAGAATAAAATTGCAAAGAAAGTTCGGCCCGGAGTGGGGCCTGATCCAAATAAACCGCCTTGCATTAAAGCCAAGGAAAGGAGGAGGAAGAAGAAGGAAGGGGAAGGAAACCCTGTTAATAATAATGATGATAGTTCTAATAAAAACAGAGGAGCTGCTAGTCACAATAACCTCCCATTACTAGAAATAATGAAAGCTCATGAGGAGGAAATAAGTTGTGGGAATCCAAAACATAAACTGGAAATAAGATTAGTGGCAAGTGATGACAAAGAGATGAAAGACTCCTTAGTTGACTTCTTCTCGCTTTACAATCGCTTTCAAGACGGCGTCCATCCTGGCAAATCGAAATTCAAAACTTCTGCAGATCTACATTGGGCGTTCATAAACTCACCACTCCGTCCTTCCGATAGATCAAAGGGAGACAGGCCAATGGGTACGTACCATATGAGATATTACCTTGACGGGGAATTGATCATGCTTAGTGTGATTGATATCTTACCCACTTACCTAGTATCGATATACTTCATTTATGATCCTGATATTCGGTTCCTTCAGCCTGGCATATACACCTGCTTGAGAGAGATAGCTCTTATACAAGAGCTACAGAGGGAGAGCCCAGAGTTGGTCTATTACAATCTTGGTTTCTACAATGATTTTAGTCAAAAGATAAACTACAAGAGACAGTTTAAACCGACTGAGATCCTCTGCCCCATCACTAGTACATACGTGCCCCTAGACACTGCCCTCCCTTTGCTACGAGATGTAAGATACTGTCGCTTGGCTGACAGAGAAGTACCGCAAAAACCAGAAAAAGAAGACCTTGATGTCAACGATGTTGTGGTCCTAGACGTCGTTACTATGCAGGGACAATACTTGAAGGATAATTCGATATTGAGGATGATGTACGGGCCGATAGTCCAGCACTATATGTGGGGGGCTGGTAGAGATATAATGACAAGAATGCTCATATCTCGTTAGGAGTTTATTGTTATAATTTGAAAGTTATTTTTGTTCTCTTTGTGGTATGGGTGACATTTTAACGACTTGTTTGTATTTATATAATTTTTTATTGTTTTTTTAATGCTCTTTAAGAAAGTATTACTATAACACAAACATAGTTTTATTCCTAATAAAACTTTTTATTAAATAGATGATGTTTTTCCAGTAAAATTTAGTTTTATAACTTTTAATAACCAGTTCATTGTTTGTGAACGGAGAGACTACGTAATCTAATCTTACTCAGGTCCGTATACTACCCTGCAATGGCTCAAGTGCAGGTTCAGAATGTTACAGTTTTGGACAATCCAACAAAGTTTACTAATCCTTTTCAGTTCGAGATAACTTTTGAGTGTCAAGAAAACCTTGAGAAAGGTGAGAATACTTATTAACATGTACATTCTAACGAGCAGAAACACTTGTAAATTTAATCTTTTCAAAATCCACTCTTCCTCTTTTATTCTTCCTGCTAGATTTGGAGTGGAAGATAATATATGTTGGTTCAGCTTCTTCAGAATCATATGATCAAGTACTGGATACTGTATTAGTTGGGCCAGTCCCTGTTGGCACTCACAAGTTTGTGTTCCAAGTAAGCTAGCAGTACTAGTGTAGGATAAAGGGGGAGGGTCATGACTTAATTGTAACTACCTTGGGGTGGGTATTAATTGCGGCACTTAATTTTAGCGTTTTTAGCGAGTGTACTTCAAATCGCTAATTCAACCACTCGCTAATAATAGTTATTATGTACTTGTGTAAACAAGTACACAAGAGAGGCAAGATCTGTAACAAGATAACAGTAAATAAGGTGTTCCTGTTAAGTGTTCTGCTCTTAAATGTATAGATTGGGCTTCTTGAGTAGTGTTATGCTATTGAATGGGGGTTTTACCATTGATTTTCTTCCTATTTTCGCTAATATTACATTTCGCTAAATCAGGGTCCCCTTGAAAACGCTAAAATTTAACAGCGCAATTAATACCCACCCTAAGGTATATTGTAGAACACTGTAATGTATTATGGGATTTATCTTCAATCAAACGCCCTTTTTTGAGTCCCAAGATGAAAATAAAATAACATAAAAACAGGCAAAGGGTAAAGCATTCGTTCAGTATGCAATTGTGAGAAATATCATTTTCAATAAGGGACAGTCTGTGTGTCACCTACAATCATATAGTCATGATGCTTATAGTCATGTTTGCACTATTGGTCACACCTTTGTTAGTAAAAAATTAATTTCTGCATTATGCCAGAATTCTTTTTGTATATATTATTATTATTATTGAAGGAAATTGCTGAATTGTTAAATTGGGGCAAAGCATTTTAAAAGTTGATGTTGTTACATTTTATACAAAGTTTGAGTTGAATCATAATTAAAGTAATATCATTTTAAAACCAATTTTAAATGATAAAACTCAGTCTGATCAGTCACTCCTGGTATAAACGGTTTAGTTAAAGTGAGAGAGAAAGAAAAATAGTGAGAAGTGAGTAGTACAGTTGATTTCATTGTCTCCCTCTCGATTGTAGGCAGATTCTCCTGATACCAGTAAGATCCCTGCTCATGATGTGGTAGGAGTGACTGTTATTCTATTAACTTGTTCTTATAAGGAGCAAGAGTTCATTCGGGTTGGGTATTATGTTAATAACGAATATACAGACTCTGAACTGATTGAAAACCCACCAGGACAACCACAGTTTGATAAAGTATGTACTGCTTTTTTTGTATTGTATTGCACTCTCATTCATTCATTTATTCACTACTTCACTATTATTGTTGGTTATAATAAAATACTGTATTGTTACTTTTATGCTCATTTTCTTTCTCTAAGGGCTTCATTGCTTTAAGTGTTTTTGCCATTCAAAATAACCTATGAAAACCCTTAACTAATTCACTAGTTTTTTAATGTCCTATCCTATCAATCCTTGATTTATTATTACTTTTTGTTCTCTTCCTTATCCTCCTCTTGTTTTTCCTCCTTTCCCCTCTCTTTCTACCCATTGAAGCTTCAGAGAAACATACTGACCAGTAGTCCTAAACTCATTCACTAGTTTTTTATGTCCTACCCTATCCAATCCTTTATTAATTATTGCTTTTTATTTTCTTCTTCTTGTTTTTCCTCCTTTCCCCTCTCTTTCCTCTGTCTCTTTCTTCCCACTAAAGCTTCAGAGAAACATACTGACCAGTAGTCCTCGGGTCACAAGATTTAAAATAAACTGGGACTAAAGCACTTTTAACTCCTCCACCTCCACCTCCTCTGAACTCTACCATTCTCCCTATCACTGTCATAATACATGTGCATGTGTGTGTGTGTGTGTATGTCTCGTAAATTTTCACTTAAAATGATATTATCGTAATAACTAGCTGAATGTCAACATTGAGGCAGTGAGCATGAGCCATTTATTGACATTTTTGACTAAGATTAAAATAATATTTATTTATTATTTTTTTAATTTTATATTTATTTTTTTTTAATTTTTTTTTAGTTTAATTTTGTATTATTTATTATTAAAAAATTTTTTTTAATTTTCTTATTTTATTTATATGTTTTTATTATTTTTAATTTTTTTTATTTTTCATTAAATTTTTTTCAATTTAAATTTTTTTGGTTCTAAAATTTTCAAAATTTTTGCTTTTTTAATTTTTTAAAATTGCTTTTAATTTTTTCAATTTAATTTTTTTTATTTTAAAATGTATCAATTTTTTTTTTTTTTACTTTTTTATTTTTATTTTTTTATCTTTAATCTTTCAATAATTTTTTTATTTTATTATAATTTTTGCTTGAATTTTATTATTTTAAATTTTTCTTATTTTTATCAATTTTATCTTTATTCTTTAATTTTTTAGTTTTTGAAATTTTATTTATTTTTAATTTAAAAAATTTTTAAATTAATCTTTCCTCAACAAAGAAAAACAGCATTCATATTTATTTTTTCAATTTTTAATTTTTAAAATTTTTATTTTACTTTTTAAATATTTTATTTTTATTGGTTTATTTTTTGTATTTTTATTTTTTTCAATTCTTTTTAATTTTAAAGATATTACTTTTAATTTTTAAAAAATTTTATTTTTTATAATTTTTTAATATTTATTTTTTAATATTAATTTTTAAATTTTTAATCTTTTAAATTTTTGGTAAAATTTTTTTGATTTTTATTTATTTTTCAAAAATTTTTTTAAATTTTTATTATTTTATTAATATTTTTTTACTTAATTTTTAAATTTTTTTATTTTTTGAATATTTTTTGTTTAATTTCTAAATTTTTATTTTATTATTAATATTTTTTACTAATTTTTTTAGTTCTCACTTTATTCCTTATTCTAATTTTTTAATTCTTATTTTATTATTTCTTTACTTAAATTTTTTTTAATTCTTACTTTATTTTTTCTATCTTAATTTTTTTATTTTTGCTATTTATTTTCTGAATTTTCTTAAATTTGTGTTAATTTTTTAAAATTAGCCAATTGCATTGCAGCATTGCCACAATAGATGGGGACTGCAATTATTATGCTTCAATGGACAAGCACTTATTGCTAGAGTGGGTCAGGTTACAATAATTGATATCATTTATAATACAGGTTCACAATAACATTATCTAACATTATCTAAACAAGTCTTTGTACTGCGAATGGTCCCAACTCTCTTCACTCTCGTCCAAATAGTCTTCATCGGAATAAAATTTCGGCTTATCTTCTAGCATCTTCTTTTTCTTTTTTGCCTAAAAATAAAATTAAAATTAATTTTAATGGTCATAACTTGAAAAATTTAAATTATAATCGGCTCAAAAATTCTACAAAGTATGAGAACATCAATATGCATCAGAAAATACAATAAAAATTGGGGGTAACTTTGGAGCCTTTTGTCAGAAAGAACATGTGCTATAGTACAGGAGATTTGGAGTTTTTAAAATGGCCATAACTTGAAAAATTTAAGTCAGAATCAGCTCAAACTTTTTACATAGCATAAGTACATCAATACGCATCAAAAAATGTAATAAAAATTGGGGGTGATTTTTGAGCCATTTTTTGGAAAAAAGCATGGGCTATAGTACAGGGAATTTTTCAGAATTTGGTCTATTTTTAAAATGGCCATAACTTAGAAAATTTAAGTCGGAATCAGCTCAAACTTTCAACATAGCATAAGGACATCAATATGTATCAAAAAATGTAATAAAAATTTGGGGTGATTTTTGAGCCATTTTTTGGAAAAAACTATGGGCTATAGTACAGGGTATTTTTCAGAAATTGGCCTATTTTTTTTAATGACTATAACTTGAGAAATTTAAGTCAGAATCAGCTCAAACTTTCAACATAGTATATGGACATCAATATGTATCAGAAAATGCAATAAAATTTTGGGGTCATTTTGGAGCAATTTTTTCGAAAAAACCATGGGCTATAGCCTTGGGTATTTTTCAAAAATTGGCCTAATTCTTTGAATGGCCATAACTCAAAAAATTTAAGTCGGTATCAGCTCAAAATTTCTATACAACATAAGTACATCAATATGCATCAGAAAATGTAATAAAAATTGAAAGTGATTTCGGAGCCGATTTTTCAAAAAAACCATGGGCTATAGTACAGGGAAATTTTCAGAAATTTGGAGTTTTTAAAAAATGGTCATAACTTACAAAATTTAAGTTGGAATCAGCTCAAACTTTCTACACAACATAAGTACATCAATATGCATTTTAAAATGTAATAAAAATTTGGGGTGATTTTTGAGCCGATTTTCTGGAATAAAGCAAAGCATGGAATAAAATGGAATCAGCTCGAACAGCATAAAAACATCAATATGCATTAGAAAATATTGAGAAGGCATATCTCCCCTCCCTCTCTCTCCCTCTCTTACCGCTATCTCTTCTTCTGAGAGTTTACTAAGATCAAGAGGTAGTGTTATGATCTTGTAAGGGTACATGGTACGTATGGTATATGTTGATCCATCAGGATTCACTAGTAAGCACTCGTAGAGTTTAGGATGAATGTTCTTCTTATTCATTATTGGAAGGAACTTACCATTAGGAGCAACACTACCCAACCTGTAATCAAAAAGACAAAGATCACATAAAAAAGATGGGATTCTAAACCCTAATTAAAATCCTATGACTAATGCAATAACTAAAAAAAGTATGGGAGTCTTTTGGGTATCACCTTCTTCTTTAGATTCAAATTACATGTACATATGACCTAACCCAACCCTTAAAATTTTTGAGGGCTATAAGTAAAATCAAGAGT